CAGTTAATACCATGCAATCAAAAACATGTGCTAAAGCGGCTACAAGCACAACCGACCGCAGAGACTAATTTACACCCAAGTATTTATTTTGCAACTGCTTCTACGGGTTTTGCTTGAATCCTTTGCCCTGGCGCATAATTCTGAACCTTCAAAGTCTTTAAGGTGTTTAAATGGTATCGCATGCCATTATTTTCAACGGTTTGAGTCAAACATGATCCATCTTCATGAGAACTTTTCACATTAGGCAATGTCCGCGCATGTTGCGAGGGCAGATCATGAAGTTTAAGCACGAACAACAAAATACTTATATGTACTTTAATGCAGGTAGGCATATTCAAATGAAATTCCATCTAGTACTGTCTTGATTGATCGTTTGTTGTTTGTTTCTGGACTATTCATACTACTTGGTCATAGTTATTACAAAGCAGAACTGTAAATATCTGACTTGAATCGGGCGGCAAACAAGAAACGAACTGGTAAGGTAGGCCCGAGCTGATCTCTCTTATGAAACTGGAAAATCGATCAAAATTCTTATGTTAATTCATTAGTTTCAGGATTTACCTAGCGGTATGTAAGCAGCAGTGGTAACCCTTGAAAACTTTCGTGACAAAGAACCGGTATTCAAATCCTACATTGTAAAATTACGGTATTGTTGCTGCAAATGGTTGCCTTTATGGGAGGAGGTTCGAACAATCATTTCAATGCAAAAGAACTGAAACCGTCAGAATACAACGTTCATGATCATTCTGCTCTCTGAACGTTGTTGAATATGGAACTATTTTTGCAGCAGAAGGTGCTGGAAATAGCAACGATGAGTTTCGCCGTTGGTCTGGAAAGGATATTCAGCGTTTCCATTGATTTTACTACAGAAGATGGTATGGCGCTAAAGCGGATGTTTTACAGGACCATGCAATTTAGAAACTGGAACAAATCTGGAATTTATCCATTTCTTGAGTTGCTATTAAACACTACTGCAGAATTGGAAATATTCTTTTGAGAAATACTTTAAGAAAATTGCGTTCGTTGTAAACATCAGTAGTCGTTCCGCGATTATCTGGGGAACACCTGTGATGCGTTTGAACCTTACGAAGACCCGCACGGGGTCTATTAAACAGGAAGCTTCTTACTCTTAAAAATAAACGCTGTTTAAAGTTACGGATTATGTTGTCTTTGCAGCTAACGGTATATTTTAGTTATCCGCATCATCAGACTAACGGGTGGCTGTTGATTCTTATTCCTTATGATCGCGATGATCCTCAGAAAGTGTTTACGATGGAGCTGCGATCGAAGGCGAAGCATGATCGAGCCATACCAAGATCCAGCATTCTGATCCACCAAATCGAAGAACACAATGGGTATTATTACTCAAAATTACTCACCCAGAGCAAAGGCAAATACTTCAATTTGAAGCAGGGCGAAAGCTGGATGGTTATTAATACAGACATGAATTACACATTTATTTACGTGCGAGTAAACTGGATCAATGACTGGAGGAAGCAAGCTGAAGTTACTATTTTTACCAACTTTTTGCCAACTGCTTGTGGCACTTATGAACAGC